CGTACGTGTGTGTGTGTGTGGGGGGGGGGGATTTTTGAGCATCAAAACCTCTCATTTAAATAAAACAAATAATTTACGATAATAAGAGCTCAAATGACTCACGAAATCGTAATGACACGATTGCAAACAAACCATACCCCGGCCGGGATTGAACCCGCGATCAGAGAGTCTCAAAACTCCAGCCCGTCGCGTTAGCCACTAGACCAGCTAGCCACAATAAGATTCGTCCAACTAGGTATATTTCTACACCATAGGAAGGTTAGCACAGGCACCACTGTGACCACAAATGCAAGTTTTACAGACGAATCTCCAGCTAGCGTGGCCGTGACGAACTCTAGCTCAAGTCCCTTCACTGCCGTCAACATGACTCACTCAGTGAAGGGACTTGAGCTAGAGTTCGTCACGGCCACGCTAGCTGGAGATTCGTTTGTAAAAACTTGCATTTGTGTCACAGTGGTGCCTGTGGTAACCTTCCTATGGTGTAGAAATATACCTAGTTGGACGAATCTTATTGTGGCTAGCTGGTCTAGTGGCTAACGCGACGGGCTGGAGTTTTGAGACTCTCTGACCGCGGGTTCAATCCCGGCCGGGGTATGGTTTAATAGCTCAAATGATTGTTGAATATAAACAAATTAATTTTTTTTATATTTGAGTATCTCTTCCTACTTTTAATATAAGGTGCACGCTTGAAAACTACGAAATATATTCCTCAATATTTGTATGATAAACTTTTATAACAAATATCAAGTCAAATAAAAATTACATTTAAGAGTTTCAAGTCTCTTGCAGTTCACACAATGAAATATAGAATTTATGGGTAAATCTTCAGAAATATAATCCATTTTTTGATCATACAATTTCATAACATTTAACGATAAATACTTAACAAATACAGTGGACCTTCCCCTTTCGTTGGGCTCTGTTTTCGTGAATTTCAGTTATCACTAACTTTCGTAAAAATACTGGCTCGTTTTTTTTTACTTTCCTCTGCTCTCGTCGGTGGTATGGTACTTGTCCAAGAGCTGTGCACACGCAAAGCCTCACACACACGCATTCTGAGGCAGTGTCGCTTTGTTTCTCGGTGAGTTAACATTATCCTGCGAGGTCATAGGAAACATTTTGTAATAACTCATTGTTTTTTGCACTTGTTTATTCTGTGTGACTGCTAAATAAGCCACCATGGGCCCAAAGAAAGCTGCTAGTGCTAACCTGTTGATATAGGTGAGAAACATGACAGAATTTAAGAAAAAACTCGTAGCAAAGTAACAAAGTGGAGGAGGAAGAGAGAGGGGAGAATGTGCCGCCTTCAGTGATTCTACGATATATGCGATACTAAAGCAGCACAAGTCGATAAAGGCTATAGCGCCAGCCAACAATAAAATGTAGCGTTAACAGTGTAGCAAGCAAGTTATGCGATTAAGCGATGGAAAAAGGACGACACGAAAGTGACTCCTCCAAAGTTATTGGAGGTATATAGGGCCACTGACAACATATGCCGCCCTGCCTATCTTTTACCATGCTAAACCAATGCCAGCATCTCCAAGGTACAGTAAGTGTAAATCTTTCTTATTTATAAAGTGCAAATATTTCTTATTTATAAATTACACACATTGTTTGTATGAATAATATTGGTGGCTTCTGCTGCCGCCTCCATTACCATTAATATGTACGGCTTATACTCTCAGTGGCCCTTATAAACCCAACAACAACATGACCACCACTCCTTATTTACGTAATGCCATATTTTATTCATTCTAGAGTATATCATGTTTCTATGTTATTAATATTGTTTATGTCATATTAGATGAACTGCGGCATAAATAAGCCGCGAAATACGGTTATTCTCTATAAAATGTATTTTTTGTTTATATTTTTGGATGTCTGAAACAGATTAATTGGATTTACATTATTTCTTATGGGGAAAATGATTACAGTTTTTGTGAATTTCACATTTTGTCAGACTCTGAAACGGATTAATCACAAAAAGGGAGGATCCACTGTATTGAGTAATGATGCTGTACATTGTTTTTTATACTTTTTAGTGTGTAATTACATTCTATGTTTTAACATTTAAGAATAAAAAAACTTGAAGTCATGATCTCCTTCCAGAAATGCTGCCTCAGGGCTGGCTAAAATTAAAAAAAAAAAAAAATATATTTAACTTTTAATGAAAAATAAGGTATTTTTGTAGGATAACGAGATACCTGAAAGTTTGAAATTTGATAGAAAACTTACGGAATTATGCTCTCGCAAAGTTAGCGGTCTCGGCGATGTTACCATCAGGCGATTTTGCCGACTTTGAGGCCACATTTTTCGGCCAATTTATGACTGTACAAGGTCGATCAAAAAACATGAATATTTCGCTAGAACTCTCAATTTTTTCTATCGAATGGGTGCAGAGAAACCACTCATTTATAAATTCAACTATCCAGTACAGTGGTCAGAATTTAGCAATTTGCCAATTTCACACAAATTTCAAAAGATGCCATTTCCGAATAGGGTCCAGATAAACAAGAAAGACATTCCTGGCACTAAAATGACATTTCTCTAGTCATAGGAACGTCTCAAGGCCCTCTTATATTCTTTTGCTTTCCACTTTGAATTTTTATTTTCACAAAAAATTAAGATTTACTGTTATGCAGACTACTGCATTAGTGTAAAAAATGGTATAAAATTATTGGTGCACTTGTGAAAGAATATTAACTCACAGTTGACATGTATTGCACGCTTGGCACGATTTGTGTACTTTTGAGTTTGGTAAAAATCGAATATTTCTGCTACTTTGAGCTCAATTTCAGGCACTTTTCTTTGTAAAACCAGTCAAAATCATCTCAATTTCTGTAATATGTCTTCGATTCTATAAAATGAGACCAAGAAAACTAGAATACAACAATAAATACCATACGAAAATACACTGCAAAGTCGCTGATTTATTAAAAAAAAATGGTCAAAGTTTTTTTTTTTCTCCATTATGCACTGTGTGCTGCAGGATTTTTTTTAGACTGTGCACACTGACCACATAGACCCATTCTTTCATATGAAGGCCTACCAGCTTTCTCCCACTAGATTTGAGGCCGCTAGAATTTATGAGTACTAGTACGTCAAAAACCCCTACGCGTAAGACGTACTAGTACGACGAAAACCCTCAAAGGGTTAAGAATAAAAAAATCTTCAATTCATGATCTTCTTTATAAGGATAATGCATGCCAATGCAAGCTGCTTAAGAATATACACAATAAAATAAAAATACAGTGGACCCTCGAGTTTAGAACTGCTCCCAACTCGACCAATTAAGTAAGTGTATTTTTGTAAGGGGGATAAGTCTGTTGAGTATACCTGGTAAAGTGTATGGTAGAGTTATTATTGAAAGAATTAAGAGCAAGACGGAGAATAGGATAGCAGATGAACAAGGAGGCTTTAGGAAAGGAAAGGGGTGTGTGGACCAGGTGTTTACAGTGAAACATTTAAGTGAACAGTATTTAGATAAGGCTAAAGAGGTTTTTGTGCCATTTATGGATTTGGAAAAGGCGTATGACAGGGTGGATAGGAGGGCAATGTGGCAGATGTTGCAGATGTATGGTATAGGAGGTAGGTTACTGAAAGCAGTGAAGAGTTTTTACGAGGATAGTGAGGCCCAAGTTAGAGTATGTAGGAAAGAGGGAGATTATTTCCCAGTAAAAGTAGGCCTTAGACAAGGATGTGTGATGTCACTGTGGTTGTTTAATATATTTATAGATAGGGTTGTAAGAGAAGTAAATGCGAGGGTCTTGGCAAGAGGCGTGGAGTTAAAAGATAAAGAATCACACAAAGTGGGAGTTGTCACAGCTGCTCTTTGCTGATGACACTGTGCTCTTGGGTGATTCTGAAGAGAAGTTGCAAAGGTTGGTGGATGAATTTGGTAGGGTATGTAAAAGAAGAAAACAAAGTGAATACAGGAAAGAGTAAGGTTATGAGGATAACAAAAAGATTAGGTGATGAAAGATTGGATATCAGATTGGAGGGAGAGAGTATGGAGGAGGTGAATGCATTCAGATATCTGGGAGTGGACGTGTCAGCGGATGGGTCTATGAAAGATGAGGCGAATCATAGAATTGATGAGGGGAAAAGAGTGAGCGGTGCACTTAGGAGTCTGTGGAGACAAAGAACTTTGTCCTTGGAAGCAAAGAGGGGAATGTATGAGAGTATAGTTTTACCAATGCTCCTGTATGGGTGTGAAGCATGGGTGATGAATGTTGCAGCGAGGAGAAGGCTGAAGGCAGTGGAGATGTCATGGCTGAGGGTAATGTGTGGTGTGAATACAATGCAGAGAATTTGTAGTTTGGAAGTTAGGAGGAGGTGCGAGATTGCCAAAACTGTTGTCCAGAAGGCTGAGGAAGGGTTGCCGAGGTGGTTCGGATATGTAGAGAGAATGGAGCGAAACAGAATGACTTCAAGAGTGTATCAGTCTGTAGTGGAAGGAAGGCGGGGTAGGGGTCGGCGAGGGGCTTGGACTTCCAGCCAGCATGCGTGAGCGTGTTTGATATGAGTGAATGGAGACAAATGGTTTTTAATACTTGGCACGCTGTTGGAGTGTGAGCAAAGTAACATTTATGAAGGGATTCACGGAAACCGGCAGGCCGGACTTGAGTCCTGGAGATGGGAAGTACAGTGCCTGCACTCTGAAGGAGGGGTGTTAATGTTGCAGTTTAAAAACTGTAGTGTAAAGCACCCTTCTGACAAGACAGTGATGGAGTGAATGATGGTGAAAGTTTTTCTTTTTCAGGCCACCCTGCCTTGGTGGGAATTGGCCAGTGTGTTAATAAAATAAAAAAAATTTTGTAAGTGCTTTTGTAAGTGTATTTTTGAGGTTCTGAAACAGATTAATCTAATTTACATTATTCCTGATGAGAAGAAATTCATTCAGTAACAGAACTTGAAACAGCCGTCTGGAATGAAATAAGTTCTAAACTCGAGGGTCCACTGTACTTGAAAATGCAATTGATGTTAGTAAGATTTTTTACCTTGAGCTTGTGATGAGGGTCAGCACCATGAACCAACAGTAACTCCACCACAGGAACGTGCCCACCAGCACAGGCTAAGGAGAGTGGTGTGTGGTCATTGTTAGTGGTGGTCTTGTTCACATCACCACCCTTCACAATCAGGAACTGTACCGTACAAAGGTGGCCTGCCCGACAAGCCTTCATCAGTGGTGTGCGCCCACCTTCACTCTCATGCTCCTGAAAGATTTACAAAGTAAATAACTGAAAAGATGAAGCACCTAAGTGTACTGAAAGGCTGTATGTTCTTGAGCAACCCCTTCATAGAAGTTGACAAAAACACCAACAACCTAGTTTATGATTTTCATGGGGTGGGAAAACTTTGCAATCTCCACTGTTTAGTAGGAGAAATGACTATATATGTAAATATCCTATCTGCAGCATTCAAGAATGATTATGTGCTTTAGTTAATGGTCCAAGTCGGACCAAAAAGTTGTCATAAATTTCTTTCTCCTATATGAAGCTTATTATTGCAATTGATGTTCATGTAGCATAAAAAAAAAATGAATGTCACAACTAAAATCATCATCAAGTACAAGTTTACGATTTCTTTTTTTTTCTAGTCCCTCCCCAAAAGAAAAAGTATCATTCAAATGGCAGTCTTCATACAAAAAAAAAAAAAAAAAAATACAGATTCAATACTCACCAGATTAGCCCCAGCTTGCAACAGGAGGTCAGCAACATCTGTGTGTCCATTCTCACATGCATAAGTAAGTGCAGTATCCCCCGTTGATGTCTGGGCATTGACATTAGCACCAGCATCAATCAGATATCTGAAAAGTTTAGTTTTATTATTGTTCAGTGACTGCAGCAACGTGTGGGTATACAGGGAAGTAATGCAGAGGAAGTCTTCATTTTAGAAGCTGTCGTACTCACGAGCAAACTTTATAAAACCTACTTGACAAGGAAGAGAACAGTAAAATGCCATCCAAAAGACTTGTTCTTCATTTATTTAAACACCAGTCACACACACCAAGGTAGGGTGATCCAAAAAGAGGAAATGCATACACCTTCATTCATTAATAAGAACATAAGAAAGAAGGAACACTTCAACAGGCCTACTGACCCATGCGAAGCAGGGCCCTCAGTCTACCCTCATAGGGAAGATTTCTGATACGTGGGATCAACTTTGTCATACTCCTTTGTACATTTTCCAGTGCATTTATATCCTTTCTGTAATACGGTGACCAGAATTGTGCAGCATAATCTAAATGAGGCCTAATCAAGGATATATATAGTTCCAGAACTCCTAACTCCTTTCTGCAATCAGTATTATTAAGATCTACATTATTTAGTTTATATGTGGCATGGTTATTTTCCTGTCCAACATTTAATACTTTGCATTTGTCTATATTACACTGCATCTGCCACTTCTACGACCATTGCATCAGTCTATTCAAATCATCCCGGAATGCTCTAGTGTTCTCATTAGAATGAATTGGCCAGCCTATTTTGGTGTCATCATCAAATCTGTTATGTCAGTATTTATTCCCTCATCTATGTCGTTTATGTAAATTGTGAACAACGACGGGCCTAACACTAACCCCTGCGGAAAACTGCTTGTGATGTGCCTCCATTCTGATTTCTCCCCATTTATGCAAAATCTCTGTTGCCTATTTGTCAGCCATGCCTCTACTCACGAGAAAATTTCTCCTCCTATTCCGTGTGCTTTAAGTTTCCTCAATAGTCTCTGATGTGGAACCCTATCGAAAGCCTTACTGAAGTCCAAATACACAATATCATATTCATTACCATGATCTACCTCCTCAAACACCTTAGTGAAAAAAACTAGTAAAACTGTGTTGAGATTCATTAATCAATTTATGCCTATCAAGATGGCTACGAATTGCTTCGGCAATTACCGATTCCAAAAATTTTCCCACTATGGAGGTAAGGCTTACTGGTCTATAGTTCGAAGCTAAGGACCTGTCACCTGCCTTGTAAATACGTATTACATTTGTCATTTTCCACTTATCAGGCACTGTGCCAGTTTGTAGTGATATGTTGAAAAGATTAGCCTAAGGTATGCTAAGTTCCTCTTTACATTCCTTCAACACCCTTGCAAACAGTTCATCATTGCCCTGGGATTTGTTAGGTTTTAATTTCTCTATTTGTCTGAGGACTGTCACTAGTTACCGCAATCGTGCATAGTTTATCATCCTGTTCTACATAATCAATCATTTCAGGAATTTCACTAGTATTTTCCTGGGTAAAAACTGATAGAAAGTAAGTATTGAAAATTTCACACATTTCCTTATCACTGTCAGATTGTTTCCTCTAGTTGGTTCTGTCACAAACTGTTCTAAAAAGCAATCCTGAACCATGTAAGAACATAAGAATGGAGGAACACTGCAGAAGGCCTACTGGCCCATGAGAGGCAGGTCCTTATCAAAACAACCTCTACCTAAGGCTACCCAAGAAATAACTCACGTACCCAATGACACCAATCAAACCCAGCCCCTCCCACTCATATACTTGTCCAATCTCTTCTTAAAGCTACCCAAGGTCCTAGCCTCTATCACCCCACTGGGAAGACTGTTCCACACATCTACAACTCTGTTAGAAAACCAGTACAGACTCAAGATTTCCTGTCATACTGTTCCAATCAATTTGTCTGAAGTTAAAACCCCCATTAACACAACACTTTCGTATCTAGATGTCTTACGAATTTCGTCCCATACCACCTTACTGCACTCCCTATCAAGGTTTGGGGGCCTATAAATCACACCCAAAATTAATTTGTCATGACCCTCGAGAAACTGTAGCGAAACAGATTCTATGTCCGATGTTTCTAATCTTACATCATGTCTAACACAACAATTTAAATTATCTCTGACATACATCGCCACTCCACCACCCTTCCTGTTGATCCTATCAGTGTGGAATAATTATAGCCTTGTATGTTGCATTCAGAAGGCATTTCTTTATCTTTCAGGTTAAACCAGGTCTCTGTTATACCAATAATATCTATATTTAGATAAAGGTAGGAAAGTTTTTATTGCATTTATGGATTTAGAAAAGGCATGTGATAGAGTGGATACGGAAGTAATGTGGCAGATGTTGCAAGTATATGGAATAGGTGGTAAGTTACTAAATGCTGTAAAGAGTTTTTATGAGGATAGAGAGGCTCAGAAGAGAGGGAGACTATTTCCCGGTAAAAGTAGGTCTTAGACAGGGATGTGTAATGTCACCATGGTTGTTTAATATATTTATAGATGGGGTTGTAAAAGAAGTAAATGCTAGGGTGTTCGGGAGAGGGGTGGGATTAAATTATGGGGAATTAAATACAAAATGGGAAGTGACACAGTTACTTTTTGCTGATGATACTGTGCTTATGGGAGATTCTAATGAAAAATTGCAAAGGTTAGTGGACAAATTTGGGAGTGTGTGTAAAGGTAGAAAGTTGAAAGTGAACATAGAAAAGAGTAAGGTGATGAGAGTATCAAATGATTTAGATAAAGAAAAACTGGATACCAAATTGGGGAGGAGGAGTATGGAAGAAGTGAATTTTTTGTTTTTTTTCAACAAGTTGGCCGCCCCCCACCGAGGCAGGGTGACCCAAAAAAGAAAGAAAATCCCCAAAAAGAAAATACTTTCATAGAAAATGAATGTTTTCAGATATTTGGGAGTTGACGTGTCAGCAGATGGATTTATGAAGGATGAGGTTAATCAAAGAATTGATGAAGGAAAAAAGGTGAGTGGTGCATTGAGGTATATGTGGAGGCAAAAAATGTTATCTATGGAGGCAAAGAAGGGAATGTATGAAAGTATAGTAGTACCAACACTATTACATGGGTGTGAAGCTTGGGTTGTAAATGCTGCAGTGAGGAGGCGGTGGAGATGTCCTAAGGGCAATGTGTGGTGTAAATATTATGCAGAAAATTCGGAGTATGGAAATTAGGAGAAGGTGTGGAGTTAATAAAAGTATTAGTCAGAGGGCTGAAGAGGGTTTGTTGAGGTCATTTGGTCATTTAGAGAGAATGGATCAAAGTAGAATGACATGGAGAGCGTATAAATCTGTAGGGGAAGGAAGGCAGGGTAGGGGTCATCCTCGAAAAGGTTGGAGGGAGGGGGTAAAGGAGGTGTTGTGGCCGAGGGGTTTGGACTTCCAGCAAGCATGCGTGAGCGTGTTAGATAGGAGCGAATCGAGACATACGGTATTTTGGACCTGATGAGCTGTTGGAGTGTGAGCAGGGTAATGTTTAGTGAAGGGATTCAAGGAAACTAGTTATTTTATATAACCGGACTTGAGTCCTAGAAATGGGAAGTACAATGCCTGCACTCTAGATGAGGGGTTTGGGAAATTGGCAGTTTGGAGGGGTATACTGTGTATTTTTATACGTATATACTTCTGTAGGTAGTAGGTTGGTAGACAGCAACCACCCAGGGAAGTACTACCGTCCTGCCAGATGACTGTGAAACAAAAACCTGTAACTGTTTTGCATGATGGTAGGATTGCTGGTTTCTTTTTCTGTCTCATAAACACGCTAAGATAACAGGGATATCTTGCTACTCCTACTTACACTTTGGTCACACTTCACAGACACGCACATGCATATATATATATACATACATCTAGGTTTTTCTCCTTTTTCTAAATAGCTCTTGTTCTTTTTTATTTCTTCTATTGTCCATGGGAAGTGGAAAAGAATCTTTCCTCCGTAAGCCATGCGTGTCGTATGAGGCGACTAAAATGCCGGGAGCAATGGCTAGTAACCCCTTCTCCTGTTATACAATTACTAAAAAAGAGAAGAGAAAAACTTTATAAAACTGGGTTGCTTAAATGTGCGTGGATGTAGTGCGGATGACAAGAAACAGATGATTGCTGATGTTATGAATGAAAAGAAGTTGGATGTCCTGGCCCTAAGCGAAACAAAGCTGAAGGGGTAGGAGAGTTTCAGTGGGGGGAAATAAATGGGATTAAATCTGGAGTATCTGAGAGAGTTTAGAGCAAAGGAAGGGGTAGCAGTAATGTTAAAATGATCAGTTATGGAAGGAGAAAAGAGAATATGAATGTGTAAATTCAAGAATTATGTGGATTAAAGTAAAGGTTGGATGCGAGAAGTGGGTCATAATAAGCGTGTATGCACCTGGAGAAGAGAGGAATGCAGAGGAGAGAGAGAGATTATGGGAGATGTTAAGTGAATGTATAGGAGCCTTTGAACCAAGTGAGAGAGTAATTGTGGTAGGGGACTTGAATGCTAAAGTAGGAGAAACTTTTAGAGAGGGTGTGGTAGGTAAGTTTGGGGTGCCAGGTGTAAATGATAATGGGAGCCCTTTGATTGAACTTTGTATAGAAAGGGGTTTAGTTATAGGTAATACATATTTTAAGAAAAAGAGGATAAATAAGTATACACGATATGATGTAGGGCGAAATGACAGTAGTTTGTTGGATTATGTATTGGTAGATAAAGACTGTTGAGTAGACTTCAGGATGTACATGTTTATAGAGGGGCCACAGATATATCAGATCACTTTCTAGTTGTATGCTACATGAGAGTAAAAGGTAGATGGGATACAAGGAGAATAGAAGCATCAGGGAAGAGAGAGGTGAAGGTTTATAAACTAAAAGAGGAGGCAGTTAGGGTAAGATATAAACAGCTATTGGAGGATAGATGGGCTAATGAGAGCATAGGCAATGGGGTCGAAGAGGTATGGGGTAGGTTTTAAAAATGTAGTGTTAGAGTGTTCAGCAGAAGTTTGTGGTTACAGGAAAGTGGGTGCAGGAGGAAGAGGAGCGATTGGTGATGATGATGTAAAGAGAGTAGTAAGG